CCCCACTTCTCCAGCCTGTCCAGGTCCACCTGCTGTTACCAGTATCAGCTCCTGCTGTCACCCACAGACACTTCATGCCTGCAAACAGTCACGTTTATCCCATGAGCTGAGACATCACCCAGCACCATCTGTGTTGGGGTTTATTGCTTTTCCATCTGTTGCTACATTTTCTGGTCCTCCAAGGAGGCTCTGGATGCTTTAGTTGCTCTGTCTTCCTGCTGCTTTTGGAGGCAGAGAAGGAAGAGCTGGGAACTGAACACCCCTCTTGTCCCTGTGTGGAGTTCTCCTGAGCCCCACCCTTCACTCCAATGGCCTGGACGTGGGTGGTCTCCTCCCCTGCCTTTATTTGAGGATGCTGTGGGAGAGGATGGGGCAGCACCTTCTCTTTGAGCTCACTGGGAATGAAATCAGGGAATCATTCAGGCTGGAAAAGACCTCTAAGATCGAGTTCAACCATCAACCCAACACTCCCATGACCACTAAACCATGTCCCCAAGTGCCACATCTACATGGTTTTTGAACCCCTCCAGGGATGGGGACTCCAGCACCTCCCTGGGCAGCTTCTGCCAGGCTGGAGCCATGGCCAGGGCTGGGATCTCTCACCCCTAGGATGCAGCAGGACAAAAGTCTCAAAAAAGAGACAAAAATCTCTTTTGGAGACTACTTTGGCCCCAGATCCATAGATCCACGGGCCATTCCTTTTCAGCTTGTAGATCCTGGTGCTTCTCAAACCACCCAGCTCAGTCTGGGGGCTGCAGCTCCCTCGTTTTTGGGGGGAAGAAGGAGATCAGGGTATTTCTCCTCAGCCTGACCACAGGTTTCTCCTCCAGGTCGGCGACGTGACGAACAAGAAGCCTCAGCGCCTGGTGACCCAGTTCCACTTCACCAGCTGGCCTGACTTTGGGGTCCCCTTCACCCCCATCGGGATGCTGAAGTTCCTGAAGAAGGTGAAGACCTGTAACCCTCAGTATGCTGGAGCAATAGTGGTGCACTGCAGGTATGTCCTGCTCGTGGCTGACCTCAGCCTCTCCCGGTCGCTTGGGAAGTGTCTCCTACTCAATACTAAAAGGATTTGCCTTTCAGTCAGGCCTTGGGTTTTATTTTTAGTTAGCTTTTCCTAAATGTTCCACATGGGAACATCCAAAAAAATGCATCTGACTTGGAGGAACTTTATGGATTCAGCGATGGGATGGTGTTAAAACTCATGTTGAGGGCTCAGTGGGTTGGCTGGACACTGAGGGAGCCAAGCTAAGCACCAATACTGGGCATTGGTGGCACCTCCCTTGGCTCTCCACTGCCCTGGGCACATCCCTTATTGTCAGAAGACACTACTCAGCATGCCTGGGAGTGAGGACCATGGTGTTTGGCCTCATGAGGAGCAGTTTCAGGCACAGCAGCAAGGCTTGGGGAGCCACAGAGGCTGCCCACGTTTCCATAAGAGGAGGCCCCATGGTTAAAGGCAGAGATGATGATCACATCTGCAAGCTCCGAGGTCCATCTCTCCTTTCTTCTCAGAGGGCAGCTGATGAAAGGGCTTTGTCTTTCTGTAGAGTCTGCTGGCCTCACTGAATCATAAAATCATTAAGGTTAAAAAGAACCTCTGAGATCAAGTCCAATCATCAACCCAACAGTACCATGACCACTAAACCATGTCCCTCATCTTTCTTATTCCCCTTAATGGTTGACTTACCAGCACAGAAACAAGACTTCCCCATGGGCTCATCTCCATGTGCTTATGGAACCAGAGAGTCATTTGGGTTGGAAGAGGCCCTTAGATGATTGAGTCCAACCCTTCCCCAATCCCTGCCAGGTCCCCACTGCCCCGTGTCCCTCACACCAATCTCCACAGCTTGGAAACCCCTCCAGGGGTGGGGACTCCACCACTGCCCTGGGCAGCCTGGCACAGGCCTGGACAGCCCTCAAGGGGAAGAAACCTCAACCTCCTCTGGGGCAACTTGAGGCCCTTTCCTCTTGTCCTGTCCCTTGTCCCTTGGGAGCAGAGACC